GTTCGTTTGTTGTCATTCATCTGGAGCCATCCGAGGTCAAGTCTCAACAACCATTGCTGGCATCCTCACCTGAGGCCAAAAGTGAACATTTGTTTAGTTTCCTGGGAAGTGATGAAAGGACAGCATTGTAAGTGGAGGATAAGTGGTGTCACAGACTGTTAAGTGACAGCTTCTCCACCCGGGTGTAAATGGCTTCCTTTACACTTCTTTCAAACCATCCTTCTTCTCCGTCTAAAATGTGCAACTGGTGGTCCTCAAAAGAGTGTCCTTAATCCTTCAGATGTAGGTAAACTGTCTTGGGTGGTGGGGCTACTTTATTGCGGCCTCGACCTTCTTCCTCCCCCCGCTGGCCGCCCCTCAATTTTAATTACACATTAGACACAGAGGGCTTGGGGGGTGGGAGGGGCACAATGGGAGGCTCCACTACCTGACAGTTGTGGGCTGCCTGTGTCACAACTACCCTCCAATTTTAACTGCACCTTAGGTACCACACACCTTATCTTTACTCCACCATACAACACTTCACAATCCATGACATGCATCCAACACAAAACAATACCTTTACAGAGGCAGGCAGAGGGGTTGAAGGAGTGGGGGGATTCTCATTGGCCTTGTGTCCTGCCCCTGGAGCCCCGGGGCATCGGGGATACCGTGGGGTTGGTGACGGCCTTGCCTGATTTGGGGTGGGTTGGGGGGGACGTGGCTCCCCTGGCATGGGGGCCCGCTCTGGACCTAGGGATCTGGGGACTCGGGCTTCTGGCTTTTGCTCATTTCTGGGCGGATGGTGTGTCCCTGGGCCTGGGGGCCCATTGTCTCCTCTCATTGCTGGCCTGGGGGCGTGCTGTGCATGGGGGATGTTGGCTGGCGGCCTTAGTTTTTCCGGTGGTTGGGGGAAGGCGGACTTTTATTGGCGGGTGCATGGTGACCAGCGCGGCACGTTTTCTGCTGGGCTGGGACTTGCAGCTGGTGTTTCTCTCCGCTGGCTTTCGCTGTCATGTTCTGCCGCTCTCGTTTGCCCGACCCCGCACACGATTTGCGGGGGGCTGCCGGGCATTGGGTGTCGCCATGCTTGCACAATGCGCAGGTTGGGCTTGTCACATGTTGATGACTGTAAAATACGAAATTTCTCGCCACTCCTGAATTTTTTGCAAAGTTTGGTGAGTTTTTGAGTATTTTTGGGCCCCCAAAATTTAGGTTACTTTGCAAAAAAAATAATAGGGAAAATTTAAATAGGGACCTCACACATTTCGTGCTCGGGCCCTAATAATAATCCCTTCAGTTTCAATAGGGACCTGACACGGTTTGTGCTTGGGCCCTAACAATGCACAATAGGAAAACATGCAATGCAACTGAAATATAGAAGAAACAAATGTGCATTGTCCAAAAGCTGATTACTGCATTAATTTCCATTATATTTTGAAATGTTACCTGCCACCTTAATTGTTTCCCTTCATATAAATAAAGACATTTCCTCCAGAAAATGGCTCCAGAATACAGGAAATTAAGTGGTTAATGTGCAAACTTGTTAATGTTATAATATTTACTAGTTTCATGTTGTGGTTGGGGATAGTGCGGGGGAAGGAGGGGTTACTGGCACCTATTTTTTTCCACTTCAAGCACTGTGTATATAATTATAATTACTATCATTATATCTCTAAGTGCTCATTCACACAGTAATCTATCAGACTAAGTTACCTCGGAGTTCGGCTCCCGGTAGAACTTTGTCAGTGCACCCAGAACAATCAGCTGTTAAATGTAAACACTAGCATTGAGAGTCATGAACTAATCAATTCTGTTTTGTGTGCTGACAGAGCCCATGCCGCTGCCGTGTGAAGAGTGAACGTAAAAGTCCAAGACTATTTACAGAACTGGCCCACCAGCAATATTTGGCCTGTGGCCATATTGCTTTGATAGCAAAAATATAAATAAATTGATAGTGGCTGTTGCTGAAATTGATCTCAGTCATGACAGCTACAGTAACTAACAGAATCACTTCCTCTTAAGTGATTGTGGCTCCAAAATAAAAGCGCAAGAGTTTTTTGCCGCAATGGTTTATTTGTAGTTTATTGGAAGCTTTTACTGGGTGGCACGGTGGTTCAGTGGTTAGCACTGTTGCCTCACAGCAAGAAGGTGGGGTCAAACCCCGGTTGCCCCGGCCTTTCTGTGTGGATTTTGCATGTTCTCCCTGTGTCTGCATGGGTTCTCTCCGGGTGCTCTGGCTTCCTCCCACCATTCAAAGACATGCAGGATAGGTTGATTGGTGACCCTAAAAAGGTGTGAGTGTGAGTGGTTGTTCGTCTATGTGTGGCCCTGCGATGGATTGGCTTCAGCCCCCCCGCGACCCTGTACGCAGGATAAGCGGTTGACGATGTATGGATGGATGGATGGAAGCTTTTACTTTGAAGAGTTCTGAAGGACATTCAAAAGAGTTTCTGGCTTGCTTGACACACCTCTGAGAATAATGTAGAAAGTTGCATGGCGCTGCAGAGCCCCAGTTACAGTAGTGCATGGATCATGCATAATAGGCTATTCATCCAGCCATCGATCACAAACAGTTTTCTGTCAGAGAGGAAGTGGGGCAGACCAGGGACAGGAGATCGTGGAGCGATGGCCCACTGCGGTCGGCCAGTGATCGTTTCCTCTGACGGGATGAAGTCTGTTGCTCCACATGATGCGTGATAAGATTAATGTCAATAAAGCATGCTGTATTATATTATTATATTTTAGAGACCCCCCAAAATATCACAAATAATGCTTTTAGAGGAGTTGATGTCTTATTAGGTTCCCCCCTAGTTCGCACCCTGTATGATTGGATCCCACTGAATTTCCGCAGGGAAATGAAAATTAGCTTCCATAGGTTTATGAATACGGATCAAATGCCGGGACGCACACACCCTGCAGCAAATGCTTTATTATGAGCATGTGCAAAAGTGTCCTTATAATCAAGTAACATGGGGAAAAGATATATGCAGTTATTTGGTATCGATCTTTCAACCTTCCTAATGGGAGTCCCGCACAGTACCAACTGAGCTAATCATGCACAGTAAAAAACATAATTTGACTTTGTTCTGGCCCGTCCTATAATGGCTTGAAAAGAATTTGGCCCGATGCCAGATTTATTTAACAACCCCTGGCCTAGTCTGAGTACAACCTTAGTTTAGCAGTAATGTACAATGTAGTTTTCAGTGGCTGGTGAATAAAGACTGCAGCTTCTCAAGAATAAAGCAGAGCTCCTGTGTGTTGGTTGCCAGCTGGTGAAGAAAGAGTGAAAGGCTTTGATTCTGTCATCATCAGCAGGGCTGGACTGGTAATCTGGCATACCGGCCAAATGCAAATGTTTTTAAAAAATGGGTCAATGAGCGGCCCATTGGGAAATTTTTTCTATACTGACACTGGGCCACCGAATCACATCTCTTACTAGCCCCCACCCCCTCTGTTCTCTGTTTCTTCATTATGCCCCCCCTGGCTGCCGCCAAATGCGCGAACAGCAGATATGTTTGCTACCGGGGCTGCAGTAGCTTCAACGTCAGCTGCAGTACCTGACGTAGAGCAGGCACTTGAATGAGTAAAGACGAGCTGTGGCCACTGCCAGTCTATGGCGAGGAGAGTGGAGGTGAAGCGTGCTATGAAAAAGGTTTATTTGCACAATAAGCCTGCAATGCAATGTAAATATAGAAAGAAAACTGAGTTGTCCAAAAACAGTAATTTAAGATAAAAACAATAATAAGCTCTCATATTCTATTATATTTTTATATTCTGAATTGTTACCTGCCACCTGAATTCTGTGCTTCCCTGGTGGAGAAGATGTATCCAGTAAATGTCCCTAGAATGCGGGAAATTAAGTGTTTAATGCTCAAAATCTTCTAAGGGAAGATCTTCCAGACCCCCCTATCAACCTTTTTTTTCTCTCTAAATAGTAGGCCAATTAAAATATACTCGTCTTGTTGTCATGGCCCCAATCTTGTGCAATGTTTTGTCATACCCCTAATGTGAGCCCTTAAATGTAAGGTTGAGGTACTGGTTAGGGGTGGTAGCCTGGGCCAAAAATGCCAGGGCCCATTGTTTTGTCCCAGTCCAGCCCTGATCATCAGTGTAGCAGTGTTTGAACACAAGTGTGTTTTTGTGCTGGTTCTGTGGACTCCCGAAGCGTTTCATTTTTGATATTCTGTGCGGTGGTTAGTTTGTGGTCTTTAAAAGCAACAATCAGCTCCATGCGAGTGAGGCTGATCCATTTTCAAGCGATTCAACCCGACGACGCTGACATGGTATTTGTACTAGTGTTTTTGCAACTTGAAATTACTAAAAGACTTGTAATTGTCTGTGCGCATATCACTAAAACAACAACGAAGATAATATCATAGACAATATATATCGCACATCCCTATTGGTAACTGATGTGATCTTCCTTGATGTGTCAGGTCAGTGTTTCAAAGTCAAAGTTGAGTGCTGCAACAAACTGAGACAATCGGGTAGTTGAGTGGAATTGGACAGTCTGTTGCCAGGGGGTGCAAACACAGAGGGGTCCAGAATAAGACCCAGGGTTGTCCAGGAAAACCCTGGTTCAACTATTGCTGCAACATGTCATCTAACTAGGCGCCAAGATAGCCCATAAAAAAATGCACATGTGCAACATTTCTTGTAGGTTTAGTTTGTAATGTGAATACCTGGATTGTATTTTGTATTGCCTGTACCTGAACCAACACTTTATTGTGAAAAGTCTGGCTTGAATGACCCTAACAAACCGAACCAGATGTATATCATAAAGCAAAATCTTTGGCTTTTTTTTTTTTTTTACCATGAGATGGTATTTTGTGCAGATGTAGAAGTCAGTAGCTCCCTCAAACTTTGCTGCATTTGTTTGAAGTTTTTTGCCTTTTTTACTGAAGCATACATTCCATATGGAAGTACAAAATATACTCAGTGCTGGAAAAGTAATTGCAGCAGACATTGTTAAGGTAATGCAAGTCTAATACAATGCTTTCAATCATTTAATATACCAGTTTGTGTAATAGTATTTATTTTCAAAACCTAACCCATGGTTCCCCATGAATCTAGTCACCTACAGGTACAACATGACAGACTGGGCTTGGCTTTCGGAAATAAAGAGCACTGATACTGGGTGCTACATATTACAAAGGTCCGATAAACAAAGTCTTATGATTTATATTTACTTGAAAGTCTGTGAACATGTACTTACACACTGACTGAACAATGACATTAAGCTAGTGCCCCATGTTTATTATTCAATACAAAAATTGTATTGATGCACTCTACCCACCAATCAACCACCTCCTCCACCTATACCTTTACTACAACAGCTCAAAAACACACAGAAAACCAGAGTATACAGACGACACTAGATCTATACAACTACAAAATAAAGTCCATTAGAAAACAATCCCAGACTTTTTACAAAAATGATTAGCCAACATGTTCACTTAGTTCAACAGATAACACTGAAAGGAATGCTTATATTCTCTTAATCGCGTCATCAATTTCTGAAATCTGGTCCTTTAGTTGGTTCCATTGTTCAGGATTCAGGGAGATACCTACAAGACATTTAAAACAGAGCTTTAAGCTGTGTCTTACACCACAACTGTAAACATCAAACGTCTGATAAGATAAATATGTACTGGATGTATATCATTGAAAGGTATTAAAACACACAGCATCTATAGCATATGCAGGGCTTACTGATGTGATTACCTTTTTTCCCCGGCTTCATCTCACCATCTTGGTTCATCCAGTACTCTCTGATGTCAATCAGGACTTTACCTTTAAAGTCCCTGACGCTGACATATCTCATCTTTCCAATCTGTAAGAAGCAAACTATCAACTGGACATTGCTCCACAAAATATTTTTGGGATAAATACATTTGTCCTTTACAATGCCATCCAATCAATACTCAACAATACCTAACTCCACACAAGAATGAGGGTTCAACATTGAAGCTTTTAACAAAAGATATTTTTAACATTATATTTCTAACATTTTATATTATATTTTATTACAACGAATTAAAAGCTTTTTTGATCTGAATGTCTTTTTTGATCTGATAGTCTGCTGAAGTAATGCACCTTCATTCATATCTGTTGAATTAAAAAATAACTAATGAAATGGGTCAAAACTGCGTGCAATTCCTGGAGAGTATAAATGTTTCTATCTGAACAGCTGAAAGTACAGTACACCTGTGATACCGACCTGGAACATGTTGTCATCGCTATTGCTGCTGCCCTTAGAGGAGCCACCTGGCTTGGAACTCTCTCCGCTCTTTGTTTTTTTGGCAGGTTTCTCAGGTGCACTTGGTTTCTTTCTCTTAGCCTAGAAAAATGTACAAATACATTTTAAATTATTTCCGATCATCATGTCCTCACCATCCAGTCCAGGATTAACTGGTATACATAGAGTGCACCGGATCCGCTCAAGGCTGCGTTCTTTCCCCGCTTCTCTTCTCACTGTACACCAACAGCTGCACCTCCAGTCACCAGTCCGTCAAGCTCCTGAAGTTTGCGGATGACACCACCCTCACTGGGCTCATCTCAGGTGGGAGATCTACCATCTGGTGACCTGGTGCAGCCAGAACAGTCTGGAGCTCAACGCTCAGAAGACAGTGGAGATGTTCGTAGAAAGAGCACAGCCCCACCCTCCCCCATCATCCTGAATGACTCCCCAGTCACCACTGTGGACTCCTTCCGCTTCCTGGGCACCATCATCTCCCAGGACCTCAAGTGGGAACTGAACATCACCTCCATCATCAAGAAGGCCCAGCAGAGGATGTACTTCCTGCAGCAGCTGAAGAAGTTCAGCCTACCAAAGACAATGATGGTGCACTTCTACACCGCCATCATTGAGTCCATCCTCACCTCCTCCATCTGGTACGCTGCTGCCACTGCCAGGGACAAGGGCAGGCTGCAGCGCATCATTCGTTCATTCTGCAGAGAAGATTCTGCAATCTTCCTTCTCTTCTGGACCTGTACTCCTCGCGGATTCTGAGGCGTGCAGGAAAGATTGCAGCTGACTCCTCCCACCCTGGACACAAACTGTTTCAGACTATCCCCTCTGGCAGGAGGCTGCCGTCCATCAGGACCAAAACCTCTCGCCACAAAAACAGCTTTTTCCCGTCTGCAGCTAGCCTCATTAACAAGGCCCGGGTCCCCCACTGACACTCACCCTTTGCAAACGATACAAATGTCTCTGCACATGTAAATACTGTTTCATCTCGTGTCGGGCTCAGACCTGGCACGTTGCATATTTGTTGTTGATTGTTGATCTTTGTTGTTATATTTTTATGTTGTCAGTTTATACATTTCTACATTTATTTATGTCGACTGTATGTTTGTCTACGTGTAGCACCTTATCACCACAGCAAATTCCTCATACGTGTAAAACACTACTTGACAATAAAGCCCCTTCTGATTCTGATTACACATTGACAATAAACTGGACTGGGCCAAGAACACTCAAGCCCTCTACAGGAAGGGCCAAAGCAGTCTCTATTTTCTGAGGATGTTTTATGAGTCTGTGGTGGCCAGTGCCATCCTGTTTGCTGTTGTACGCTGGGGCAGCAGGCTAAGGGTAGCGGACGCTAACAGACTCAACAAACTGATCCACAAGGCCAGTGACATTGTGGGGTTGGAACTGGACTCTGTCGGTGGTGTCAGAGAGGAGGATGCTGTCCAAACTACATGTCATCTTGTACAACGTCTTCCACCCACTCCATGACATGCTGCTCAAACACAGGAGCACTTTCAGTAGCTCCCTTTCATTTTTTTCCAACTTCTAATTATTAATATATTTGCTACTGACTTGTAGTAGTTTATTAACTACTATATGTATATCCTAACAGTCAATAATGGCGTTGTCAAACTTAGTTGGTAAAAAAGGTACCACTTTGCCTATCTGGCAGTACTTTGGGTTTAGGCCAGATGAAAGAGGACAGCCAAGAGACACATCTGAGGTGGTTTGCAGGATTTGTGTTCAGGTAATCCATGCAAAAGATGGACAGACGACAAATTTGCATGACCATCTGCGTGTGTACCATCCTGCAGAATACGGTACATTGCCATCTTGCGCAACTGGCCAAAGCAGAACAGCTAGCTACCAACCAACTATAACTGGGGCTTTTGCCAAAAGTACAAGCGTGACATTGTAAGATACTAGACTGTACTGTAGAGAAGAGTGCATTTAAGGCCATGCTGCAGACATTTGATAAGCAGTATGAGCTGCCAAGTCGGAAATTCTTCTCGAAGACCGCACTCCCGAAGTCCCAACGACACCAGAGCAAACATATCAGCATTGCTGGATGATGTGGAATATTTGGCCCTGACAACTGACATGTGGTCCAGCTGCAACATGATGCCTTACATGTCAGTGACCGCACATTATGCATATACAGCAGACAACCTGGAAGAGGCATTGCGGGGTACCATACTTGAGTGGAAAATAGAAGAAAGAAAAATCTCCTGCGTAACTACTGATAATGGGGCAAATATTGTGGTGGCCATCTGACAATTAAAATGGCCGTGGTTAAGTTGTTTTGGTCACAAGCTTAACATTGATATAAACAACTCACTTAAGCAGCAGAAGGCCAGCACTGATCGGGCATTCGAGGTTTGCCGGGCAGTCAACACTGCTTTTTCCCCACAGCTGGTGGAGGAGACAAGAGCTGCGCAAAGCACAAGAAGAGCTGAACCTCCCTCAGCACTCCTTGATCACAGTAATTAAAAAAAAACTGTAGGCCAGCTGATACCTAGCCTAGATAACTATAATTATTTAACAAGTGTTTAATTTCCAAAATGTAAAACAATGCACATAGGCCTACTTAATGTTTAGCCTACTTTGCAAACAACGCTATTAATTGTCTATTAGGACTAAACTATTGCGAGCAGAGACACAGACAACAGGAATGACTTACATAATTAAGCTTAGGCCTATATGTTAAGCTTATTTGACATTGTGGGATCACCACAATACCTTTTTGTCAGTGACTGTTAGAAAAACGTAAACAGGCCTAAGTGCATTGTAAATAGCATATGCATTACAAAAAAAAAATCAAAAAAAATAAATATTAAATGTTATAGTCCTACATATAATAATATATGTAGGACTATAACATCAGTTAGGCTACTTACAAGTTAGCAGAATATGACTGAATATGTTTTTCCTGACAGGACTGTGCAACACAATGGGGCTCAAAACAGCAAATGGTGGAGAGAATCCTGGAGCAGGTGCAAGCCATCAAACGGGTGTTTGCTCAGGACAAAAGCCGCCGCCCGCTCCCGCAGCTTACATGGCAGGACACAAGTGTTCAGGAAGCGGTTAACAACGTGTTGAAGCCAGTAACGAAGTTCACAGACATTCTCTCTGGAGAAAACTGTTACGGTTTCCTCACTGTTGCCCATGTTAACCCACCTGGAAGGTGTGCTGGAGGAGTTGGAGCAGGATACCAAACTCACAGCCGACCTGAAGCATGTCATCCTTGAATAGATGAAAGGCAAATATGGGCATGATGCCACCCAGAGGATGATGCGCAAAGCAACACTTTTTGACCCAAGATACAGAGGGGATCACATGAAGCCACCCGAGCTAAGTGCTGTAAAAAATGAACTGATAGCAGAGATGGTGGCAGTAGCAGCAACAGCTTCAACACCAGGTCCCGCACAAGTGAGAGACGAGGAAGAGGAATCAGGTGGTAGCACTGCGCCTAAGAAAAAATGTTCACCTTGGGAGAAGAGCAGCTACAGCAGCAGTGATCACTGCTGATCAAAAAGCTGAAGCAGAGATGTTGATGTACCTACAGGAATTGTCTGTTGATGTGGAAGAAGAGCCACTAACTTGGTGGAAAGCTAACCAGGTTCCCTCTCATGGCCAGCTTGGCCTGCACGTAAATATCTGTGCATGTGTGCTACCAGTGCTCCATCTGAACGTGTGTGCACATCGGGTAGTGTTGTTACTCCACTCTGCAGCCTATTAAAGCCAGAAAAGGTGAACATGGTTTTCTAGCCAGAAATCTTGAGATTTAATCTCAAATTTGAGTTCTAAACACTGTCACAGTAAAACTGTGAAGCAATAGATACAGGCACTGTTGTATTTATAAGTTGTAAGTTACTTTGTTTTTATTTTTGTATAAGCTACTTCGTTTGTTTGTGTAGCTAAAAGAGTAGAATTCGTTTTGCAGTTTCAGCACAGATCTTCACTGTGTTTATGCTGAATCTATTTTTAAATCTCTTTATGAAAGGGTGCTCTTGTTCACTTTTTTCCTGAATAAAGATTTTTGATCAGGAACAACCTCGTTCTTTTATTGAAATGTTTAGTAAGGTTTTATTGGTCTCTTATGGCTAATATTACATAATCAGAAATTAAGAATTGATTGGCCCAGGTCTATATGAAGTCACTGAAGTCAGGCTGGGAAAAAAAAAAGACACCCTCCTGATTTCCTGAGGCTACGCAAACCACTAGCAAGGACCACAATCAACTGACACGATTAAATGATTTATTGATGAACACAAACAGAAAGATGTAGCGTAAGAGGCATTATGCCAATTGTTTAAACGTCTCTTGAAAAGCAGGCTGTCATTTCACGAGCTACAGTGCAGCTATGAATTTCACTGAAAGAAGCAGAACAGCAGAATAAGGACAAATGCCCAAGACGTTCTGCTAAGTGAGGGATTTATACTCATAGCTAGGCTAGCTAAGTGATAATTACCAAAACTTTGTTATTACCTTTTTAATGGCAAGGCTAGCAGACCCAAGTGCAGTACTAAGAAAGGGAGGATTTAAATAAATAAAGGGATAATTATTGCTGGGTAAAGGGTTCCGATATTTACCGGATGAAGAGCAATGTAGAGTGAAAATACATGTATGCCGAACCGGGTTGGTGGCTGCTGTACAGAGCAGGGGGTACTGCAGCTGAGAGTCCAGAGAAACGGGGAAAAGTTTAGCCAGGCGAGTGTCCAGGGGGAGAGCAGACGGGATGAGCGGTATTTCCGGTAGCAAAACTAAATAACATGCTATTATGCAAAATTCACTTTTAACTTTTATTATAGAGACTAAATGCTCTTTTTCTACAATCGGCCTGATATAATTATTTAAATGTGTTCATTATGTTGTTTTTTGTTTTGTTTTTTCCAGCCAACAATTTACTGATTAATTTTAAAATGTAGGAAATCTGACTGTTTTGATCTGCAATATTAAGCAATTGTAAAATTAATAAACGCCATACCTTCCACACTTCTGCTGTCATCACGCTGAGAGCTTCATTTTGTTTTCCCTTTGATGGGAACTGGAGTATTATGTTCAGCGGAGGTCAGCCGTGTGAAAAAAAACAAACCCTCAATAATCGAATCTCAAAATTGAAAATTGAATGTGTACCCAACAATCGAATATTCGGTTCCCTATTCTGTCCCATGTTGTTTCGATCGGCTAGGTCATTAAAAAAACACGCAGCTTCACACGCAGCTCACCTGCTGCTGTGATAACGGACTTGCAGGTGAAAAGATCCAAAAGGTGAGCTGTGTTTTTAGGGTGAGTATATGAAACATACTGCTGATGAAGAAAGTCAACAAATCAGGCAGATACAGGGAGAGCGAAACAGACAGGCAGGGCTGTATGAAATGAGCAGTCATTTATATTAATAAAATATAATTAGCTGGCTTAATAATCGGGTCAAGGCCTGCGCTTACGAAGCTGATGAACAGGAACTGTCCACATGCAGCCTCGTCTGTAAGCTACTGTGGAATGATGTCAGTGCTCCCCCCTTGTGAGTTTTGAGATGGTGGTGGAAAAAATTAGTTTGGCGCCCTAAATGTCGTCAGTCACCATCGTCTTTTCGAAATGTTACTACGTTTCGCTCATCCTAAATGACAGCAAATTAAATCAAACAACATTACTGGCAAGCGTAAAAAAAAAAAAAGAAGGATGGAATTACGTGGATTTCTCCATAAAATGGTTGTAAAAAAGTGATCTGATCTTCATCTAAAACACAAACTCCAACATAAGGATACAAAACAACAATAAAGTTGTATGTGATAAAGCCTGTCCGACCAGACAAGATTTAGATGATGTCAACTGATAACAGTGAACATCGGAAAGGCTGGAGTCACATTAGCTTTTCAGCTAATGCCGAGCAGTTGCTAACATTATCCAGTGAAATACATAATATGTAACGTTATGTCTTTTCACATTGCTTTATCAGCTGATGCGATCCACATTAGGCTTGTGCCGATTGGATTGGCTATCGACGATTGAAGGGATGATCAGCAATTGGTTTTTCATGCGCCGATATAAGGCAATTTTAACTCACTATCAGAACTAAGATGACATAAAAACTGTTTCTAGAATCTGCAACCCAATGCAGTGTTTCCCATTCATTGATTTATTTGTGGCAATACAACTAGCCACAATATCACTGACTGCCACATACTATATACTTTAACTATGAGTAAAATCATAATCCATTGTGGAGCTGCGCGTAGCGCATAGACTCGCTCAGCACCTCCACTCGCTCCCTCTCTCCCTCAAACAGAAACAGAGCCTTGTGTATATCAGGCATGCAAACTGGTCAGGGCAAAAAAAAAGTGAGAAGGATATACAAGCAGAGAAACACACAGCTTACATTTTGTATAGATAAGGTGCATTTGTCTACTGCCACAAGAGAAAGATACCGACGCGCAAGGGCATCACTTTGTGTTGAAACGTAGTTGGGACATAGGGGCTCAGATTAGGGATGTGAAGATACACTTAGCTCACGAGACGTGGCAATGCACCATACTGGTGTCACGAGAACAAGATGTGACAATAATTTAACAGCATTTAATAGAAATCATCAAAGCTGAAATATATGAGTTGAGGGTCTGGGAACACAATGTCCTGCGTTCTGGTGAGTGACGTTTGTTGTTTTGCCTTTCCTACATCAATTTAAGATGGAAATGTATTTATTTAGACCTGTCCAGGGTGTACCCCGCCTTTCGCTCAACGTCAGCTGGGATAGGCTCCAGCCCCCCCGCGACCCTGTATGCAGGATAAGTGTTTGACAATGTATGGATGGATGTTTTTATTTATGTAAAGGGAAACACAAAATTCAGGTGGCAGGTGACAATTAAAAATCAAGTAGTACAGAATCTAATACAGTGCAGCTCTCAGGCATTCTATGTTGCTTTCACATGTTTCTCCTGTAGATCAATTTTTCATACACTATATACACAGGTTGCTACCATTGCTCTGAGCAAGTAGTTTAGCTAACATCACTGGTTAAAACAGCAGGCAAAGTCATAAAATTGGCAACATTACTGTATCAGACAGGACAGTTAATATTGTAAGCTAGCTTACTTCCGTCTTACATCAGGCTTGCTGTCCGACAGACAGTTTGCTCGTTCAGCAATTTCATGTGTCCAGCTATCTGACTCCCCACTGAAGCAGACTAGAAAAAAGACCCACCCTACTCTGCCTCTGATTGGCTGTTGGGTTGAGGCATTAGGAGTGATGATTTTTTAGGCAGAGCCAGTTGTAAAGTTGCAAATCTCATGTTAGAGAGGAGTCGGTAAATAAAATGGGTAGGCCTAAATGCTGTCTTAGCAACGACCAACTGTCCCCCAAAGATATTTTCCTCATCGGATCTGCACAAATCACGACCTGTTTTGATTTCAAAACAGTGAATTTCACCAAAAGGTGAGGAGTTTATATGCCTGGTGTATAGAAAACCTAATGCATTCAAGTTAGCTATTTCATCGTCATCTATTTTCTGAACAACGCTGTCAATGTCGAGACCCACCTTCAAATAACTTATAAGCAAGCATGTAAGGAGCCTAGCTAATAAGGATAGCTAACGTTAGAATACAGCTGGGTTGTCGAGGTTAGCATGCTGTACATAGCTGGTAGTCATCGATTACAGACTTGCAATCCTAAAACCGCACCGCTACTGGCCGCTGAAAACTACATACTGCCCCTTTAAACTGAACAGTGTTTCACAAGACACATTACATGTACATGAATAAAAGAAACAAATCTGAAGTTCTTATTAAAGCACAAACCTTGGTCTCTACTTCACTGTCTGAGTCACTTCCAGATGTGGAAGACAGCACTTCCTTTGATTTTGGCATTCTGCTGAGACAGGGGATCAAATATCAGACCGATCAGATTTACATTCACATACACAGGGACAGGTTTATTCTAGACTTTCTCAAACTCGGTCCTGCTGCATATTGCAAAATGATTTCACACTACAAATGTAATCCTTAAATGATAATCCCTTTAGTCTATCTGCACTATGAAGGGATATCTTTACAGCCAGTATGGAATCATTATAGTGACCAATAACTGTAATGAAAAAAAATCTTTTCCACAAAGAACGCAATCTCCACCTGTGAGCGCTACCGTGCTAGTGGGGCTGTAATCATCATAGCTCCCATTTTGCAGCTTCCGATATGGCTTTTAAGGGGAAAGTAAAGGGAAACCTAGGTCAAGAGCAAAAAACACTTTGCCTGTTGGTCATGCCGTCAAGACTGTGGTTGAAATTCGATGAATCTGACATGTTGCCCGTGTTATCTTTAAACAAACAGAAATTAACTAGCTCGTTGTGTACACTGTATGTTGTGGTTATAACAAGCTCACAAAAATTTAATTTAGTAGGCATATTTATATTGCAATATTACAGCGCATAGAACTTTTACTGTTCTCACCTTTATTAATTTCTTACTTTATTTACAAAGTTTAAATTGATAGAACTGACACATTTTACTGTCTTTGGGATAATGATAAATATGTTATAATAGAATATCAAAATATGTTCCCCGTATTCTTACAATACACATCTGAGTGCAATGTAAAATGATTCTGTTGTGAGAGCATCTGCTATCGATTTGTGCTATGGTAGCAGCTCATACCACTGTTATTACAGTATTCCCTGATAGAAACAAATATGGTTTCAGATATTTTAATGTGCTCCTGGATCAGCGGGACGTCGCTTCTTCTTCTGCCAAAGTGACGTTAAAATTGACTTTTGGACTAAATCGACGCAGACTTCCTTGATGTTTCCCCTCCAGTCAGCGGTGAACACGGGCGACGCTGCTCGTAGTGTTTGTTGTGTATGTTGTGTATTGTCCTTTGTTGCCAGATTCGCCTAAGGCACGTGGAGGAAACACAAAACAAAATTATCGACGCAGACCGCGAGCCGCGCCATCCAAACGGAAAGCTGGCTGTGCTTCCGCCTCCTGTGTCTCCCCGGAATCTGTCTGCGCACATTATTTAGCTTTAGGATTGATGCAAATACACTTTCGCGTTTGCCACCATCACTCCTGCGCTGAAGCGGATATCTTTCTACGTTTGACATAAGGCAGTTTCAACCTGGAATAACACACACACACAACAGTCTCATTAAGCCTTTGTCATGCAGGCTAATGCAATGAAGTGACAACGCGCGTCTGGAGGCTTTGCTGCACTTCAATGTTACGACGGTTTTATATACAGACATGGACGTCAGCTAGCCAGCTAAACGCTAACGTTAGCCACGATAGCTAGCTTTAGCAGAGTTGAAGCCCCGTTGCACAAGTTACGCTCTCTCGTTTTGTAGATGACATTAACTTTCTTTAGCATGTGCACTGTGACTTCATGTCTGTGCAGTAAAACACCAAGCTGCTCTCCTAATGAAACAGAAGTCTTCGCATAGACACGTATTAGCATGTTCTTGTTAAACTGTTAGTCCTTACATGATACGATGTAGTAGAGCGGATCTCTGGATAGGAAGCGGAAAGCTGACTGACTTCCGGTGTTTATCGGACTGTTTCCGCGTCTTCTAGCCCGTCCCCCGTCCGCATGGCGAAGGAAGCGCGCGCTCACAAAAAAGCTCGTCCCCGACCAGAGTAACTATTGCGAGTTTTAACTGTAGAATTTTGTGTTCTAGAAGTGCAAGGCACATTTCATTACTGACTTTTGTTTGTTGTATTTAAAAAATGGCGTAACAAAACCTATATTTGTTGTCTTCTCTTTAACTAACAAATGTTGTTATTTCTATCAATAAATTTTATTATATTTGTGAGAGAGTTTTCATGTGGAATATTGTAGACTTGGAAGAAATATGTGGTTATTCAGATAACTTTGGTTGTATAGGCTAAATATGTGATTGTTCTCAAAAGGGACACTAGGCTGTACCTGGACGTATTGATACCATTCTCTTATTCCCCAAAGGGGACACTTTGTGTTGAAAAGTGGTGGGGACATAACAACTCAGACAAAGTGTGTGACAACAATACACATACAGTTGCATCTCATAAAATTAGAATATCATGAAAAAGTTCATTTATTTCCGTAATTTTATTCAAAAAGTGAAACTTTCATATCATAAGATTCATTACACTAAAGTTAAATATTTCAGGCTTTTTTTGTTTAAATCTCGATAATTATGGCGGTAAGCTCATGGAAATCCATATCTCATAATATTGGAATACTAGAATAAACAATGTATAATACAGACACGTTGGCCTGAGAAGAGCCTATATTCTCTCAGTCTGGATGTAAATGCTCTGTATTTGTATAGCGCCTTTCTAGTCTTTTCAACCACTCAAAGCGCTTTTACACTACATCTGCATTTACCAGTCACACTCATTCATACACTGGCAGAACAGCCGCCAGGGATTGAACTGCCGACCTTCCGATTAACGGCCAACCCGCTCTACCTCCTGAGCCACAGCCGTTGGTTCAAACACCAATCACGGGGAAGACTTCTGACTGACCCCCTCCACAAGGAGAGTAAGCTCCAGCAGGTCATTGCTGAAAGGGCTGGTTGTTCACAGAGTGCAGAAGCATCTTATCTGGGCTAAGGGGAAACAGAATTGGACCGTCGCATAATGGTCCAAAGTCCTCTTTTTAGATGAAAGTAAATTTTGCTTTTCATTTGGAAATCAAGGTCCCAGAGTCTGGAGGACAAGTGGAGCAACAAAATCCAAGTAGCTTGAAGTCCAGTGTGAAGTTTCCACAGTCTGTGATGATTTGGGATTCCATGTCATCTGCTGGTGCTGGTCCACTGTGTTTTACCAAGTCCAGAGTCAATGCAACCACCTACCAGGAGATTTTAGACCACTTCATGCTTCCATCTGCTCACAAGCTTTATGGAGATGCTGATTTCCTTTTCCAGCAGGACTTGGCACCTGCCCACAGGGCCAAAATGACTAGTAACGAGTTTGCTGACCATGGTATTACTGTGCTTGGTTGGCCAGCTAACTCGTTTGACATGAACCCCATAGATTGTCAAGAGAACAGTGAGAGACACCAGACCAACAACATAGACGAGCTGAAGGCTGCCATCAAAGCAACTTGTGCTTCCAGAACACCTCATCAAAGCCACAGGCTGACTGCCTTCATGCCATGCCGCATTGATTCAATTCAATTCAATTTTATTTATATAGCACCAAATCACAACAACAGTTATCTCACAGCGCTTTTCATAAAAGAGCAGGTCTAGACCGTACTCTGTGATGATATTTACAGAAGCCCAACAGTTCCCACCAAGAGCAAGCACTAGGCAACAGAGGCAAGGAAAAACTTCCTTTTAAGAGGCAGAAACCTCGAGCAGAACCATGGCTCAGGGTGGGCGGCCATCTGCCTCGACCGGTTGGGGGTGAAGGAGAGAGAGAGAGAGAGAGAGAGAGAGAGCGCAGGAGAGGAATAGAGAGAAAAAGAGGGATGTAAGGAGAGAGAGAGGGGAGGGAGGCAGCCTACACAATATACACACAGAGGTACAGACAGTGAAGGTGATGTTGCTATAGACTAAATGAAAAATGGTACAGATATTTATAATAGTGTTAATGGTAACAATCATAATGTTAATGATTATAATAACAATAATAACAATAAGACTAGCAACAATAGTCGTTGCAGCAGAGGGTGTCGAGCAGGAACACGGGGGCAGCAGATGACCCGCAACCACAGATCCAGACTCCACAGCTCCAGAGCTAGAAAACCTGCAGGAAGTGATAGGAGAGAGGAGAGAGACGAGAAAGCACAAGACTACCAGAAAGGGGAGAAGTTGTGTTAGTAACATGCAATAATGGGATGAGGTTGCATACAGAGGGAGAGAAAGTAGAGGAGAGAGGAGCTCAGTGCATCATGGGAAATCCCCCGGCAGTCTAGGCCTATAGCAGCATAACTAAGGGATGGTTCAGGACTCACCTGAGCCAGCCCTAACTATAAGCTTTATCAAAGAGGAAAGTCTTAAGCCTACTCTTAAATGTGGAGATGGTGTCTGCCTCCTGAACCCAAACTGGAACCTGGTTCCACAGGAGAGGAGCTTGATAGCTGAACGCTCTGGCTCCTAGTCTACTTTTGGAGACTCTAGGAACCACAAGTAACCCTGCATTCTGGGAGCGCAGTGCTCTGGTGGGGTAGTAAGGTACTATGAGCTCTTTAAGATAAGATGGTGCCTGACCATTAAGAGCTTTGTAGGTAAGAAGAATGATTTTAAATTCTATTCTGGATTTTACTGGAAGCCAATGCAAAGAAGCTAAAACAGGAGAAATGTGATCTCTTTTCCTGGTTCCTGTCAGAACACGTGCTGCAGCATTCTGGATCAGCTGAAGAGTCTTAATGGACTTTTTCGAGCAGCCTGATAATAAGGAATTGCAGTAATCCAGCCTAGAAGTAACAAATGCATGGACTAGTTTTTCTGCATCATTTTTAGACAGGATGTTCCTGATTTTCGCAATATTATGTAGGTGAAAAAAGGCGGTCCTTGAAATTTGCTTAATGTGAGACTTAAACGACATGTCCTGATCAAAGATAACTCCAAGATTCCTGACAGTGGTGCTGGAGGCCAGGGCGATGCCATCCAGGGAAACTATATCTTTAGATAATGCGTCACGGAGGTGCTTAGGCCCTAGAGCAATAACTTCAGTTTTATCTGAGTTTAACATGAGAAAATTACAGGTCATCCAGGTTTTAACATCCTGAAGGCACATCTGAAGTTTAGCTAACTGATGAGTTTCATCTGGCTTGATCGATAGATATAACTGAGTATCATCTGCATAACAATGAAAGCTTATGGAATGTTTCCTGATAATATTGCCTAAAGGAAGCATATATAAAGTGAAGAGGATTGGTCCGAGGACAGATCCTTGAGGAACTCCATGACTAACTTTGGCATGCATGGAGGACTCATCGTTAACATGTACAAACTGAAATCGATCTGATAAATAGGACTTAAACCAGCTTAGAGCGGTTCCTTTAATGCCAATGAAATATTCCAGTCTCTGCAATAGGATCTGATGGTCAATGGTATCAAATGCAGCACTAAGATCTAATAAAACCAGTACAGAGACAAGTCCTTTGTCTGATGCAATAAGGAGGTCGTTAGTAATTTTCACCAGTGCTGTCTCTGTGCTATGATGAGCTCTAAATCCTGACTGAAAATCCTCAAATAAACTATTGCTCTGTAGAAAGTCACACAGCTGTTTAGCAACTGCTTTCTCCAGAACCTTAGAGAGAAATGGAAGGTTAGATATAGGTCTATAGTTTGCTAAAACATCCGGATCAAGTTTGGGCTTTTTCAGAAGAGGTTTAATTACAGCTACTTTAAAGTACTGTGGTACATAGCCTGTTGATAAAGATAGATTGATCATATCTAGTATAGAGGTGCTGACTAAGGGTAAAACATCTTTAAGCAGCCTAGTCGGGATGGGGTCTAAGAGGCAGGTTGATGGTTTAGATGAAGAAATTATTGAAGTTAGTTGGTAAAGATTGAGGGAAGCAAAACAGTCTAAACATGTATCTGGTTCTACAGCTGTTTCTAAGGTTCCTGAGTTAAGAGATAAGTCGGTGCCAGTTGAGGGCAGGTCTTGGTGAATTTTGTCTCTAATAGCTAGAATTTTATCATTAAAGAAGCTCATGAAATCGTAACTACTGATAGCTATGGGAATACTTGGCTCAATAGAGCTGTGACTCTCTGTCAGCCTGGCTACAGTGCTGAAAAGAAACTTTGGGTTGTTCCTATTTTCCTCTATTAATGACGAGTAGTACGCTGCTCTAGCATTACGGAGGGCCTTCCTATAAGTTTTAAGACTATCTTGCCAAATTAAACGAGAATTTTCCACTTTGGTGGAACGCCAATTCCTCTCAAGTTTCCGCGATATTTGCTTTAATTTGCGAGTTTCAGTATTATACCATGGAGCTAACCGTCTTTGTTTTAGTATTTTCTTTTTTAGAGGGGCTACAGAGTCGAGTGTCATTCGCAGCGAGCCTGCAGCACTATCAACAAGATGATCGATTTGGGAGGGACTGAAATTAGCATAGGAGTCCTCCGTTACTTTGTGACTAGATAATGTATTTAGAGCTGATGGAATCCATCCTTAAATTTAGCTATAGCACTATCAGACAGACATCTTGTATAGAAATTTTTGCCCAATGGCGAGTAGTTCAGCAATACAAACTCAAAAGTTATGAAACAGTGGTCGGACAAAGAGGGATTCTGTGGGAACACCACTAAATGTTCAATTTCAATACCATACACCAAAACAAGGTCGAGGGTGTGGTTAAAACAGTGAGTCGGTTCATGAACACTCTGAGAGAAGCCAATGGAATCTAACAGAGAGATAAACGCAGTACTAAAGCTGTCATTCTCAACGTCCACATGAATATTAAAATCCCCTACAATAATAACTTTGTCCGTTTTAAGGACTAAAGTTGACAAAAACTCTGCAAATTCAGATAAGAATTCAGAATACGGGCCAGGTGCTCGGTACACTATAACGAAGAGAATTGGTTGCAGTGATTTCCAACTTGGGTGCGAAAGACTAAGAACAAGACTTTCAAATGAGTTATAGTT